AGGCGGGCAAGAGCCCGCGGGTGGGAAATGCGGACGGGCAGCGATGCCGAAAGCCCACCTGCGGAGAGACGTCCCTTTCCTCCTTCAGTAATCCTCAATAAAATACTCCTCCTCTTTGGAGGAGTGGCTGCATTTTGCACAGCATAATTAAATATGTTCATCTGTGTGTATATGCATTCAATACATGTTAACTTGCCGCCGGGAAGGGCAGCGAGCCCCCCTGCAGCCCCGCTCCCCGCAGGAGGCAGGCGCGAGGTCCAGCCTCAGCTCCAACTGATTTTTGCCATTTTCACCTGGGAATGAGCAGCGAGAGACCCAGAAGCAGATGTTTAGGAGAGCAATTGTCTGCTAAATACTTGGATGTCGGGGGGTTTAGCCACTGGATGAATCAGGCAGGAAAAGAGTTTGGGTTTTGAAGCCGCAGATTTTTGACTGACAGCCTCCCGAGGGGATGCTCTGAGCCCCCCTGCATGGGGCAGAAGAAGAAGCATCTCCCGGCCTCACAGGGCCGTTGGAGATCTCCTGGTCTAAGACCCCACAGTGCTCCATGGTGATGGAGATAGGCACAAACCTCAGGAACAAAGATAGCTGCTGTGTTTCCTAAGGTGCGGCAACTCTACGGACGGGAAACAAGTCTCTGCTCTCCAGAATATAGGGTCTGACCGAATTTAAAAAAATAATAACCCCCTGTACATCACTGTCTTTGAAGGCTACTCATTGCTCTGCTTCGGGAAAACCTCACGTCACGCAGCATTTTCCATTACCTCCCACTGATTCCTGGCCGTCGGTCCCCGTGTCCTGGGTATCAGCTGAGCCCTGCTGTAGCTTCCCACTGTTTTCCTCTCGCTTTGCTTTGGGAAACACAAAGCACAAGAAAGGGACTGATGGAGCAGTTAGTGACGATAATTAGGTTTTAATGTTTGCAGATCGGCAGCAGATTTTCAGAGCAGATTAAAAAATTGCTTGCTTCTTGAGTCACACACTTTTCATGGCACCCTGTAGGACTGCTCGCTCAAATTTGTCCCGAACTCTGAATTACTCTGAGGCATTGTTACAACTGCCGTAGATTAGGAATTTTGGCTAACACACATAGTACGTCCCGTTATTCACAACACTATACATAAAATAAAGCTTTTCTTACCAAACACTTGAAGAAAGGCAGCCTTGTACTTTACCTTCACATTGCTTCTCTCCATCAAAATCCCCATGAACTGTTTCCTCCACCAACAAATTTCTATTTTCCTCCTGATTTTCTTTTCCAGGTGGAGCGTCGGGGCTCGTTTCCGCGT